GATAGATGTTATCAAGTTTTTGGCTCCGAGTTTCGAAAAAAGGATCAGAAAAAAGTGCTCAGGTGATTTTTTTTCTCCAGACAAGTTTCGACTCTTCTTTTCCTAACTAGCCAATTTTGACGAGATCTTTATTATCAAAATTAAAATTTATAATTCTACTGAGCTCAAATTATCTTTTATTTTTGTAGAGTTTTCAAAAAACTATATGTTTTGCAAATTGCCTGTTTGACTAATTTGTGTTAATTAGAGCGATATGCTTTTGTGCTGCAAACGCGGCACTTTAACCCGGCTCAAAAATTATTCCAAAATCAATTAAAGCAAATCTTCAAATTAAAAAGTTAATATATGCTAAATATAGCACTTTCTAACCCGCATCAAAGTTTCATTGATAAAAATCGATTCGAAAGTTACCAGGATCAAAATTGTTGCAAATTGAACTGGGGCAAGCTACTTGGTCTTATTCATTTCGTACGATCAAATTTTTGTACCTTGATTTACTTGTTCTTTGATTTTGTACAAAATTTAAGGTTTTTTCTATTTTTGTTTCCCAAAAACTATGCGATATAAATTAAGAGGCAGTTGGAAAATTCAGATTTTTGCCCTTCCTGATATACGAGCAGTCTTCTTGAAATTTTTGAATTTTTTTTTCAATATTTGAGAGAAAACATAATCCTTTCAAAGAAAACAAAATCTTTTGAAAGAAAAAGAAAACACAAGGCACAGATTCAACTCACTTTTAAGAGATCTGCTACTTAATATATCTGCTACTTACGAAAGAGCAACATTTTCAGATTTTTTCCTTACCGATTTGATGGCCTCGTTTCTTTCATCAGGTGTTATATAATCAGGACTTGCAAACCTAAAGAGAGCGTTCAGCTTTTGATAAGAGCCCAAACTGTTGATCATTTTGAATAGCTTGTCCTGAGCAGTTTTGAGCTGCCAATCGGTGCCCTCTGTCCCTTTTCAGAGCACCTTAAAATAGATACACGCTCCGAAAAGAGCAGATTAGTTCTTTCTGAGCCTAACTCTTGTTGCTGGTCCAAGTTCCAGTATCTACACAGGAGCTTTTCCTTGAGTCTCTTAGGAGAAAGCAGAGTTCCAACATATCACAGGAAGCGACTTACCTAAAACATCGCTAGTCCCAATCAAGGATGAGGACAACTAGAGTCTCAATGTTCACCTTGTCAACGAACTCATCAGAAAGGACAAAGAAGTCAACTGATTACTTAAGTGAACCAATTCGCCATTTGGCGAACTACCCTGGTCATTACGAGGCCAAACTGTGCTTTCTGCGCATTGCTTGCGGATTCCACGACAAGCCAAAATCAGATTTGTCGCGGAATTCACATCGTAGCTACTTTTTTTTGATCTTCTTTGCTGTTATGGTTTCCGCAAACAAATACTTAACACACTGTGTCGCTCAAAATCGCTCCAAAAATAGACGAATTTGCGGAATCCACAACCATATTTGCGGAATCCAAAACAGTTTGTGAAGTCCACAAAAAAACAATAAGACATGTGTATAATTAAATTGAGGTGTTGCAGAATCCATAACTGTAAGCGGAATCCGCAAAGTGCAAGTGAAATCCGCTAGTTGTAAGTGGAATCCGCATTTTGTTTGCGGATTCCGTTTACATATATGTATATATAAAGTAGCGTTTAAGTTTATATCTTCTACTTGCATGATTTTATTTCACTAGAATAGGAATTTACTCAATCAGTATTTGAGATTAATGGAATACCAATTACTGACCAGTATTTCGGATCCATGAAACCCCAAATAATGAACTAATTGGACAATTTGCTATGCGTTGGGTTTCTAATCACTCTCAAGCTAATGACTCCAAATAATGAACTTAATCCATATTTATTCCATATTTTTACAGATTTTGGGATTCCATCAATCCCAAACACTGACCTAATTATTCGATATGATGTGTGTTGTATTTCCATATATTTTCAACTCATTGACTTCAAATATCGAAAATAATCGGTGTTGTGTTTCCAAAATACTATAAAATGACATCCAACGATTTAAGTAACCAAAATTTAAAAACTTGTTTGAGAATTCCAGCTCTAGCTTTTAATTGATGAGTTTTGATTAAAATTCGGAATCCACTTACAAGTTGCGGATTCCACTTACATTTTGCGGAAACCGCTCAGCATTTGCGGAATCCAAAACAACTAGCTATATTCGCTTGTTGCGGAATACGCGACAGAACAAATGTGCCGACAACATTTACGTTACACTCATATGTACGCGGAATGCATGGAACCTTTGTAAGGGGAATCCACCTACATTTTCGAACATGTTTAAATACTCAGTTTTGGGATCCAAGAACATACAGACACAAAATTGTGCGCCTATCCAGTGCACAGTTTGGCCTCGTAATGGATCAAGTCACAGAAGTTGTCAACACTGCTTAAGTAAAACAGCAGTTTCATACAAAATTCAGTCCCGTATCAGTATAAATCAGAAATTTACTCTGTTTTTCAACTTACCAAGAGATTGAACAGGAAAAATGACTACAATTACTGAATTTATTCGGCGTTATGCTTCCAAAATCAGTATTTGGGATTGAAGAAATCCCAAACACAGACCTAATTATGCGATATGATGTGTGTTGTATTTCGTTACAGTCTCAATTCAATGACTTCAAAAATCGAAATTATTCGGTATACTGTTTCCAAAAACTATAAGATGACATCCACCGAATTAAAAAACCAAAATTTTAAGATTTGTTTGTGGATTACTCTCACAACCCTTGCTTTTGAATTCCGACTTGCCAGAAATAAGATTTCCAGCTCTAGCTTTTAAATGCTGAGGATTGAACAAAATTCGGAATCCACTTACATTTGCGGATTCCGCTTACATTTTGTGGAAACCACTTAGCAGTTGCGGAATCCAAACCAACTCGCTATGTTCCATTTTTACGGAATCCGCGACACAACAAATGTGCCGACAAAATTTACGTTACACTTATATGTACGCGGAATCCACTTACATTTTGGAACATGTTTAAAGATTAGTTTCTGGAATCGAGGAACATACAGACACAAAGTTGTGCGCCTATCCAGAGCACAGTTTGGCCTCGTAATGAATGAAGTCACAGAAGTTGTCAACACTGTTCAAATAAAACAGCAGTTTCTTACAAAATTCAGTCTTGTTTACTCTGTTTTTCACATGACCAAGAGATTGAACAGGAAATAATTTGCTAGTTCTAGAGCTGTAACATTATTGGTACCGCAACAACTCGCAAGAAAAAACAACTCGCAACAAAAGACAACTCGCAAAATTTCAGTAAAGCGACATTCGCAAGTTTATCAAGCTAATTGGAAACTTTATATTCTCGGTGTACGGTCACCGGTGGGCGAGCTGCGAGCGCGTCGCCGCTTTGCGGCGATAACTGTCTCCAAATTTCGAATAAAGTTCTACCCTCTGTTGACAACACTCGGCAGTGAGTTTATTGCGAGTTGTCTTTTAATGCGAGTTGTCTTTTATTGTGAGTTTTTGCATTACAAACATTACTGCTACAGATTTGTTTAATTCTGTTTTTATTCTCTACTGCGGTTTTTATTCGGCACTGCACGCTAAGAAGCAAAGACGAAGGGATCTCCAATTTCGTCATAACTTTGGAGCGAAAAGAAATTAGTTGACGGATCGTTAATAACAAGTTTGCAAAAAATTAGAAAAAAACTTTGCCTTGCGATGGGAAAATTTGAAGTTCTTCGAGGCGATTTCGGTCTCAAAAACAATAATATCCGTTTATAACCTTTTCATGATTTAAAACCACACTCAATGTTAAAATCCGGACTACGTTAAACTGTTTTATATGGCAAGTTTGTGATGCCAGTATAATTAATTTGAGAACTAGGATCCAGCAAAGATTTTAAATTTAGAAAAATTATCAAAATACCAAATTTTCGTGTTGTGAATGAAAAAATTTGTTGTTCCGGTTTGAAATAACGTTTATTCCATAGAAAAAAAGTCTGTTGTACTATTTTGTAAGTTTCTAGAGGAATGGAAAGTTATTGATTGGCACTTTTCGATAACATGGAATAATATAACTTTTTCCAACCATTTAATTTTTCCAACCATTTAGTTTTTTTTTTCAGTTCCCACTGATTTTGCAAAAATGTAACCTAAAATTTTAAGCAAAAAGTTTCGTTTAAATTTTTGTAGTGTATTATTCGAGATAAACTGCATTTGAGAATCGCAAGCGTTACTAATTTATAGTAAACCAATTATTTTTTTTAAAACCAAGTTTATTGCAGACAAATTTTTAAAACCAAATAAAACCTAATTATATTGCAGGGGTAATACTTTAGATTTTAGATTTTCATTTTCTGTCTCCCTAAAAGTCTGGAATAATCGGTTATGATGGAATAACAAGACTGCTAGTATATATCAAAGCGAAACTATGAATGTTCAACTCTGAATAACAAGACTCTGAATAACAAAAACTCTGGCTGCCTCTTAAAATTTTTGATTATAATTGAATGCGTGGTCCCGAAAAGAAAATAGAATCAATAATAATGGCACTTTTTTAAGTTCAAAAACCTACTATGATCGAGTTTTGTCCATTGAACCTCTGTAGTTTCCTAAATCAGTTTTAAGGACATGGTGGTTACCAACTGTGACTGTTTTGACTCTCCTTATTTTTAACTTACAAGTTTTTCTGCTATGGAAAAAAGCTACTTTCGAAAAGAAAGCTGAAGTATGAAAATAGGGTTAAAATATGTGACTAGCAGTACCAGCTATGAAACTGGCTAGATTTTCTTGTATGGAGGTCAACCCGGGTCAGAAATTTATATATTTTTTCCACTTAGATACCTGTATTTTTTCGTAAATTTTACACAGTATCATTACTCTATTTAATATACTTTTATCACATACTTTTATCAATGAATGAAAAACAGGTGAATGAAAGTTATTTGAAAATGAAAAAAAATATTCTAAGTTTTTCATTAGCAGTTTAGATAGTTTTATAATTTTTATTTCAAATTGAGTTTGAAGTAGGCTTCCGTATTAATGAAATGGTGTCTCCTGAATTGTATATATGTATGAAAGCAATGTCACTGCTCAGTTTTGAGTAAGATGTCAGAAGCTCTCCACACACTTCAGCTGTGATGTCTTCAACCATGTACAGACCTCCGGGTTTCATTTGACGATATGCGACCGAAAACAGAGTTTTCTGTGCATCCGAGTTATGCCATGAGTCATCGACTATAATATCCAGGGGCGAACCGATAGAATCAAACAGGGTTTTTAAAGTATCCGATTTAGTGATGTCAGCATAAAACGTTTTCAGACGTTGCTGTTGAAAGAGCCCATTTTTACGGATGTCCGCGCCAAAGATAACAGAGTTCGGAAAGTATTCTCGCCATGAACGCTGTGAAGCACCGATGGTGTAGTTTCGAGTTGGGTCTTGAAATCTGGGGGAAAGAGGACCCAATCCAAATTCCAGGACTTTCAGATGTTCCATTCGCAGTCTTTTGAAAAAGAACTCGTAAAAAGCGCCGTAGTTGTGTCGAGTGCACTTATCCGAACCGTACTCGTTAAGTAGTTTACAAAGCGTACCGTCGTTTGGTTTTCCAGCTTTGACATATTCGTCCAGTGGTGAGCAAATTGAATGTGAGCCGACACACCAATAATGTTGATCTCCCAGTGCCAATTTCTCCCGACAATCAGAGCTGTAGTTTTTCCCTGCTGCAGCTTGTATATCGTCATTGTATGATGGGAAAAAATTGGAAGTAGCTCTAAACAAATAACTAAATTCATTGTAAATAAAAACTATATTTTGGAAGTAAAAACAAAAGACATTAAAGTCAAACAGGAGTCCTTGTGTATCAGGGCCAAGCCCTGAATGTTTAGACTACGCTTAAGGGCCAATTTAAAAAAATTTGATTGAAAAATTGTCAAAAAAACCGGAAAAAAACATAGTTAATTCCGTAAACTTATCATGAACACGCTTAAGTAAACTACAAAAAGGTGGGCGTCTCATATCCTATTTATATGACAAAAAAAAACTTGAAGAAAGAGGGGAACATTTATGCTTGGGGTGGTTATTCAGTCATTTTTTGATTTTTTAACTAATCTAGTTGACAAACATGTTTGTTACACCATTTGAAAGATATTATTGTCTGGAGCTCAAAATTAAACATTAATTAACTCGCGAGGAGTTTTTGCAAAATTATCGGGTTCTCATGGCATTAAAAGACATAAGGTCGCAGGAAAAACTTCTCTGATAATCGAAAATTTACCTCAAAGCTAAAACTACTTGTTTTAAAAATTAGTTAATAGTTAAACTAAACTTTGCTATCGGCAATTTAAAAACTAACTTTTTCAAAATTTCAAAAACTAACTTTTTCTAAAATCAATGGCTGATTACCAATCAAAACTACGGGGAAAACGATTTTACAGCGGAGATCAATGAAACACCTCCTCTCGATTGGCACAGTCGTTTTGAGGCAATGGAACAAAGTAACAAAAAATGGCTTAAGAAGTGGACATTTCTCAAGTCTAACGGATTCCTTCACAAAATATGGAGAATGAAATTTTTTCAAGTAAAGCATTAAATTTCTACAGGGTGTAGCCGCTTAGCCAATGAAAACTTTCTAGCGCCTATTTTTCGATTGAATCCTTATTTCCAGGTTTGACAGAGCAGTCGAAAAAATTATTCTAGTTTCAGAAAAGTTTTCATTAAAAGTTTTTCGTTTGGATCTTTCATCTAAGATTTGGCAAGGTAGAGTTTGAGAAGAGAAATGTGATATTTTCTTTGGCCGTAATTCTTACTTAAAAATTAGGGCTTTAGGGTATAGCAGGCAGATTCCAATATTCGTTGTTTTTTTGCTTTGCTCTAAAATCAGATTTGCTAGTGTTCGAAAAAAATAGCGGAGCATGCAGGCAAACAAAGAGCAGCCAGAATTGCGGCGATACAATTTTTCATGAAAATTGGTACAGCAATTTTTGAAAAAAAAACTTAAAAGTTTGCGAAAAGTAATCTGAGTGTCGACAAAGCTCTTTAAAAACCAAATTCACTACAACTTCATAATATCTGATTTCATCAATACCTATTGGCATATTTTTTCTCCGAATGTTAAAGACAACGTAACTTCGAAGTCAGATCAAAACTGATAACGTTAAGATCTTTTGCAATTTGTTCCTCCGATTTTCAAAATCTTGTTCTTGGCAGAGCTTTTTTTCTAAATTGTTTCGAATTTTTATGAGAAAAATTTTGCAAAAGCGGAATAATTATAATTTTCTTATCTTGAACTCAAAACGAAAAAACTTCGCTAGCAAACAGTTTTACAGATGGGTGGGTGTTACCACTTTTACCACCTTGGTATATTTAATTATGCATTTTTTTACCAGTTCTCTATGAATGCGAAGCATGTGTGGCAAATTAAATCATTACAAGCCAAATTGAAGCATTGTAAAAGATCGAAGTTATTTGTGAAATATATAAATATACTGAAGCGACCACGGCCATATTTGTAACTTTATTCTGCCAAGGCCGTGGCCGCTTCAGCATACAATATACCTTGCAACAAGTTGTTGTTTCGATTAAATCTTTGACATCAAAAAGAAAAAAATGAAAAAAGTGTCCAAACAACGGTCAACAAATGAAACATTTGACTTTTAAGGAAAAAAAGTCAAAAAAAAGGCACACTCTTTTGATCCACACTCTTTTTCGAGACAAAAAAATAAAGGACAAAAGATACTAGGGGGCTATTCAGGGGGAGGACAATTGTACCCCTTTTTATTCACTATCGTAATTTATGAGAAAAATTTATGCAAAAGTTTGTAAAAAGCAAAACTTTTTTTTCCTAAAAAACTCAATTTCAAATTTTTTCATAGTGGCTGTTTTTATCACGCAAGAATTTCAGGCAAACATGACAGACAACCCATTTGATAATTAAACTAGCAACGGAATAAGAGATGCGAGTGTGAAACGGGAAAAAACCGACTTTTTCAGCAGACACCAGCTGAGCCGAAAAAAAACATGATCAAAAAACAATTTAAAAATTTCAATTCCCCCTGAAACTAGAATTATCATCACTTGAATTTACGGCTTAACTTGTATACAGTAAAAGAGAATTCCGCGATGTGGCACCTAAGCTGAAAAAACTCGAACAAACAAGCGAAAGTCCGGCCATTCATTTTTACAGGACAAATCTTTCTATTTCATTCAAACTGGAAAAAAAAGTCCTAACGGGGTTCAAACTTCAAACCTTAAATGTAAAAATTAACGCGTTACCTCCAAACCAATTGAGAAAGAACCTGGAAATTGATGAGGTTCAAAAATGAAGCAAGCTCAACTTCTTGTAAGATAATTTGTTTACAGCAAAATGTCTATTCCCGGCCAATTTCACAAAGAACGGTCTTGTTGAACCGCCGTTGATAATCATGTCACTAATTCACAGAAAAGATAAATCAAAAGCATCAAATTTTAAATGGGTTGACCGAATTATGCAAGCTTTGAAAACAATTTAAATGCAGCCAAAAAAAAAAAGTTTTTTTTTTCTCGGCTACATACAAGTTGTTTTCAAAACTTGCATAATTCGATCACCGCAATTGAAAACTGATGACTTTGAATCTTTTTCTCTGTAGTTTATTGACTTGATCATCAAAGGTAGCTCAACGAGACCGTTCTACTTGAAATCAATTTTTCTGAATTTTACGGAATGTAAATTTATTTCAGATTGATTGTGTTGTTAATCACAATCCCTAGATTCATACCCCTTAAACTTTACGAAAAATAAACACACGTTTCAATTTCTTGCCTAGGTACTATTACCTTCCAGAGGGTATAAATTAATACCGTCAAATTAAATGGTTAAAACTCAAAATTTGGCTGCTAAAACCACTCCAATGATTTATATTCAGTCATTTTCAACGAAAGTCGGAACAACAATTGATACTGACAATTTAAAAGTTGAACTTCATCAAAACTGATTGACATGAAGTGTGCTCGCATTTTACTGATACACGCTCTGCAATGGGTCGGAATTTTAAGTTAATCGAAAAAAGTACTTGATTATCAAAAATTTATGCCAACCTTTTTGTTCCGACCGTTTTTTGTTTTTTGTTTTCCACGCAAAATTTTTTTTCCAGTGTCGAGAAAAACCGGTTTGAAAACTTTGATTTTTCAACGTATTTTGAGCAAATAAATTAGCAAGCGAGCAGGCCTACAACATCCAAAATGCCTAATTTTGTCCAATTTTAGACCTTGAAACTTAAATTTAAGCAATTAAAACTAGTTTTTAGAGTTTTTTTTAGCTTGATTTAGGCCAGCAAAAACTTCAAAAAATTAAAAAAATTTCTGCAAAAAAATTTGAAAAAAAAAGTTTTTTTCTAGTTTTTCGTATCATTTTTCTTTAAAACTTTGATCCAATTTTCCTTTTTTACTATGATTGTCCAATATGCCTAAACTATATTTTTATGTAAGACCTTATCATACCAAGCAGAAAAAACTTCACTAATGTGAAAAAAAAACTTTCTAAATCGTAGTTTTCTTAAAAATATGGTCGGAACATTCGTTGCTAATAGCACAGTAACTGGCCATTCTTGTTTTAGCTATGAAGGCTTTTGATTGATCGGATTTTTGAAAAAAGCCTGAAAATAATCTGTGTTACTACCATATAAGGAAAAATTGTCTTTGTAGTAATTGAAAATAAATAAACATACCTGTCAATTTTCATGACAGTTTTTAATGTACACAAGAGTTAAAAGTGTTTTGCAAAGCTTAAGGTAAAAGTAGGAGTAAGGACGAGGAGGAGGGTTATGAGAGGGATTCGGGGGGTGGAAGTTTTTTAATTGCTGCAGTGACCTGTGCCGCGAATAGTAGGGGTATGCTTCATTGGGTGCCGGTTGATTGAGCCCATCTGCAGACTCTGCTGCTTGGAGGAAGTTTGACCGGCAGAACAGAGTCCCGTATGCCATCGCAACACATACAACAGCAACAACGAGAATTCTTCTTAAGACTTTTCTTTCAAAGAGTTCTGAAAAAAAAACATTTTTTAACTGAATCTATAAAATCTTTTTTTAAAATATCAATAAATTTTGATTTTTGTTCAATTTTCATTAAATCTGTCGAACATAAATAGACATATCGAGTAAAACATGACAAAAATGTAACGAATGCCAAGCCCAACAATTTTAAGAAATTCTCCACTATCTTGTATCATGCGGGCCAATATCAAACTATCAAAAATGTTAAAATTATGTGAAAACAATAGTTAAGAACAGTCGAAATAGACGCCGAAGATAGTCAAAGCATATACAGGTCAAGCGACGTCGAAGTCGAAGCAGAGGTCCAGCACAGTCGAAACAAAACATAATCTTTGCTCAAGCTAGGTTGTGTTTTTACCAATGTTTTGACAATTCTTGGCCCGTGTCTGGATGGGGCTCAACTTATTTTTTGCTTGCATTTGACCTAAAACTTGATTTGGCACAACCTTTGTTTTGAATGTGCTCAAATTTCGTTTCATGTATGTTTGAAGTTTGTTCAGATTGTGCTCAAATTACGTTTGAAGTCTGCTCGAAAAAAATAGGTTTCGTTTAGGCTCTGTGTGAAAATATTATACTCTATTATTCGACTGTTTTTTTACTTGTCTATGCTCAACTGATTCTGCTCAAAAATATATGATTTGACCTCGACTTATTCATTTTGAATTACTGTAGCTTGCTTGACCTATGATACTTACTTCATGAAAGCTGCTAATTTAACTTAGCTAGAAGTTGCGTTCGGAAGAAAGATTCATAGGAGGTAAAATTTGGCAGCAGAATGATGAAACTTGCAAAAGTTTTCATTTAAATTTGCATATATAACTATGTCATCTAAAAAGCGTTAAATTTATAAATGACATACGCGAAAAAATCTCCAAAACTTTTTTCAATTCTGCGTGAGACCACAGATCTCAAAATCTGACTAAAATATTCCTTAATCTAATGTGTTTATATTTTGAGAGTTGCTGACACACTAACGAAGTAATTTTTTTAGCTTGCATGCTTTCTTCAATTTTGAAACAAAAAATGTAACAAAAAGTTACGCGGACTTCAATCTATCTTTTTGATTGTGCTTGACTGTGTTCGACTGATGATTTGATATTGCTCGTGCTCAAGTTAAGATTGATTGCGATCGCTTTGTGTGTTTTAAAAGTTTTCGGCCCGTAGTTTTACTTTAGTTCAATTTATGTTTTGATAGTACTTGGGCTAAAATTTAGATTGTGCTCAATCTACATTTGAACTCTGCTTGAAAACATATGTTTCGACAGGTTTCACCCTATGTTTTGACTGAGTTCAGCCTATGTTTCATCTGTGCTCGCCCTTTTTATCTGTGCCCAATCTATGACTTGACTGTGCTTGGAAATATGTGTTTCGACTGAGTACGCTCTAATTTTGCTGACTATGCTTGAATTTTATCATGTGGTAGATGACATCTTCCACCTTAGAAGATGATATTCGGCAAACATTAAAAAAAAGCTTCTCTATAAAAATTATTCTTTATAGGGAAAATCTACTTTTCACTATTAGATATATTGCTGAACACAGTCGAAAGTTAAGCTGAACATAGTCGAAAGTTAAAAACAAGCACAATCAACGCATTAGTTGAGAAAAATTGAAATCTAGGTTGAGCACAGTCAAAACATGCGTATGGCGCAGTCGAAAAAATCTAAGTTGAATACAATCAAACCTTAGTTCGATCTGAGACAAAACCTAGTTCGAGCGCGGTCGAAACAGGTTAAACACATAAAACTACTGGCGTAACAATGTTAAAGCATGCAGGTTTAGTGCAATTGAACCAAAGTTTGGTCGCATTTGTGGGTGTAAATATTTGTGGAGTTATATGATCAGTCGAAACAAACTTGAGCGTAATTGAAACATTGCAACCAAATTGCAGACTGAAACTAAAGGAAATATTGATCGAATAAAGATAAAAAAACAGCATGTTGGGCACAATCAGAATGAAATGTTTCGATTGCATTCAACCTAAGTTTTATTTGTGCTCGAACTTTTTTGTCTGAGCTGAATCTATGATTTGTCTCTTTTCAAAAATATGTATCTTGCCTGTCTCGATCCAAACCATTGACTCTGCTTAAGGTTTATTTTGGTAGGGAGAATAAGTTTCACTAAAACAAATAGGAGATTATGATAAACATTTAACCTAAAAATTTGAAATAGTTTGAAACTTGCATATACAGTGACCAATATACAATGCAATAAATTGACTAATACGTGTTCTGGATTATTGTTGCATTTTGGAAAATTTCTCTACAAAATTTAAGCGGCATTGGCACAATATTTTTGAAAGTGCTCGTCTAGGTTTCACTCAAAACGCTTGAACACGCTCCGACTGTTCTTGACAAACATTTCGATTCCTTTTGTCCCATGTTTCGACTGTGCTGGTCGACATATATTTCGACTTTCTCGACCACGGAATTGGATTTGTTTCGACTGTGCTCGACTTATTTTTTGACCGTGCTCGTCGTATCTTTTGACATTTTGGGTATGTTTTGAATTTATCGACCTGTGCTTCCATTTTTTGGACCAAAATTGGGTATGATTTGACTTTGTGCTTGACCTAAATTTCGACTTTCTGAACAAAAATTGGGTTTGTTTCGACTTTCTCGACCGACCTATGTTTCGACTTTTTCTACCTATAATTTGACTTTCTCGACCAAAATTGGGTATGTTTTGACTTTGTGCTCGACCTAGGTTTCGACTTTCTCGGCTAAAATTGGGTGTGTTTCGACTTTCCCAAATTATATTTTGATTTTCTCGACCAAAACTGGGTATGTTTTGAATTTGTGCTCGACTTATAATTGCTTTTCGACCGCACATTTTTAGTGGCAAAACTGCAAGTGCTCGACTTTCAAAGTCAAGAAATAAGTCGAGGACCTCGACCGGGGTGGTCTGGAAATTAGTCGCGACAGTATGGTCGTAAGCAACGGATATCAAACATGAGCTGTATTATCAAACATAACTCCGAAGAACGAACTTTAGACGGGAAGTTTTGCAGTTTTTGATCAGATGATAGCACAATGAGAACGCTTAAATAATCAAGAAACAGTAAAAAAAAAAAAGAACGCCCAATGAAAATTGAAAAACTTTCCGTTTGTTCCCATTTACGTCTCCCAGCAAAATACAACCTCAACAAACATATCTTTAAAATCACAGTAGGTGGAAAGGCTATTTGAAATCACAGTCAATGTGTATTTGTTTGATATCAGGCTTGCGGAACTTTTTTTATTGCTTCGGTGGCGGTTTGATCTCCTCGGTCTACAAAAAATGATAAAAAACGCCTGATATTCATTACCACAGCATCACCCTTTTTGTTCTATAGTTTGAGTGCTCGAATTAACCGCAGTGATAAAATGGACAAAATTCGGTATCTACCCCTAGTCGCAAATCGATTATGGGAGGTTATCTTATAAGATCTCACACAATTCTTGCAAGACACTTTTAAAGATGTTGCATCTCGTTACAAGATCTTGCAAATCGATTTTTTTCTTAAGTTTTTCAGCAAATTCTTTAGAGGTATGTTTTATGCGAGAACAAAAATTTTATACGCGTAGACAACCTATAGCGTTTGTGTAGGAAGTGTAATGCTAAAATTTGAAATTTTAAACAACTTAACAAAAAAGAAAAAGAAAAAAAAACTGCATAATAACATGAATTTATTTGCTTATCGTTTTCATGCAAAACTAGATGAATTAATTCAAAAAATCATGTTGTCGTTATTTTTAGTTTGAAATGCATATATTATAACCACAGCCTATAGCTTTTTACATTATGAAACCTGAAAAATGAGCACGTAAACGAATATTTTTGAAAGCTGGTCTACTCAATTCTTTCTTTCCTAAAAAAGACTCAAATAATACACAGATTTTATAGAGATTTTTCACAGACAATATGCACGTTATACACAAATTGTGTACTAACTTTCTCAACATACTCGCCCATCAGACAATATGAAAATTTCGAAAAGAAAAATTTTCATGTAGGTTTTTCAGTGAAACATTTGTGTTGGTGTTTGATTTAAAAACATTATTGAAATCAAAAAATAGAAGTATCTCCCAGCAAAAACTATTTGTTATAGAATAGGTTTTATAATTTTTGTTGCTGTTTTTTCCACAAAAAAGCTCTGAAAATTTGATTTTGTTCATGGCATTTGAAGAAATTTTGTAAAAAGCACTCTCCTCGCAGCGGGAACCTTTAGATTGCAAAATCATAAAGGGGTCCATTGAAAATTGTAGTTTGAGGTAAACACGTCTCCTCAAGAAATTGCAGGTCATACAAAATCCTACACAGAGTGTATGAAAAAATATTTGATCAGCAAAATATACCTTGCAGCAAAAAAAAATTTTTGGAACTAGAAAAACCAAATCTCAGAGAAAATTTTTTTTCTCAATTTTTAGTCGCAATATCATGTTAAAACTTGAAACTTTTAAAACTTTTAGATTGTAAGATGTACTTCAACAGAAAAAAAATCAGGCCACAATTTTTGACAAGTGAAGTTTTTTACCACAATTTTTCTAGCCAAATACAAAAATTTCAGGTCTGTATTCATAATTCTGAGTGAACTATGATTTCGTACCTCCTACAGTTACTAGATAAACGCGAGTATATGAGAGATTTTTCCCCTCAACCACTGCGGTTTCTTGTGTTAGAAAATCTTTGGTTATTGTTGTTTTTGGGGCAAAACAATAATATTTAGCAGAACTCGATGAACAATTAATTTTTTTATGTATGATTAAATGCATAGCGAAGATTCTTCTTAAATTTTCTCTTCGCATGGAATTGTACGAAATTGTATGATAAGTTTTTTTTCCATATATGAAAATTGTATGTCGTATAGAATCGATTATCGTTCGCAAAATGCTTGCAGATAAACCGATTCTATACTTACGTTTATCTGTAGATTTTTTTGTATATAAACGATTTTTATCCAAGTTTGTCACTGTGGACAAAAGTTTTGTCTCGAATCCTTCTTTAATTGTAAAATGGCCTCGTCTCGACCTAGATCTCAAGAAATGGGACGGATGGGTTTGCGAGGAAACTATAAAAATTCTTCTGATATATCGACTCACTTTTAATCATTTCGTTCTCTGTGCTGACAGGAGTTGTGCAAATTGTTCAATTATGACGACAGGTATTTGAAACAATTTATTACAATGTGACAATATTGTATGAAACAAGCTAATTTTTTTAAACGCTTGATAAAATTTGAATAATCGATCGACTACTGAATGAGAGTGCTAATTGCTATTTGACCGGAATTTTCTCAGTTGGTAGGAATTGTGCAATTTTTCAACTGATAAAGTTAATTACGACAATTTATAATTATGACTTTAGTACTGCATTTTCATGGATAATAATCGAGTATGTTTGATTTTCATTGTCAGTCTTTTTTAAACGCTTGATAAAATTTGAATAATCGATCGACTACTGAATGAGAGTGCTAATTGCTATTTGACCGGAATTTTCTCAGTTGGTAGGAATTGTGCAATTTTTCAACTGATAAAGTTAATTACGACAATTTATAATTATGACTTTAGTACTGCATTTTCATGGATAATAATCGAGTATGTTTGATTTTCATTGTCAGTCTTTATAAAATTCAATAATCGATAATCTGTAAAAATCTATTAAAAAAAATGAAAAATGGATTAAAAATTTATTTTTGTCAAATCAAAAAAATCTATTTTATTTGAGTATAAACAATGATAATGGATTAAAACCAGTTAAATTGGATTGTAATCCAATTTTTTGTAAATGCATTTAAAATTTTCAAACCGTGCAGTATATAAAAATTTTAACAGCTGCTTTTGGCTTGATACACCTAACAGATAAACAAGATTTGATTTGGTTTTTTGCTTTAAAAATTTTTGTTGTGTTTTCACTTGTCGTCCTTCCAATATAAACAATCCCCCCCTCCACCCCCAACCCCCCCACCCTCTTTTATCCCCCACTTTTACGACCAATTTTGCAAAAAATTATAGAGATTATGATCCATCATAATCAATTATATTGGATTATAAATGGATTATAATCAATTTTAATGGAAGTTATTGGATTGAGTTTTTTTACAAAAAAAATGGATTATAATGACAATATAATCAATTTTGTGATCTAAACTTGCGATAAAAATGGATTGCAAAGACAAAATTCTAGCCACATTTTTCCATTAAAATCGGTTTTTATCCATGAAACTCTAGTGCGGGTAGAAATTTTATGTGCGTTGATGGAAAATTACCAAGATATTGAAAGCCTATGGTGCATTATTGGTGAATAGATATGTAGCCAGTAATTTTGTGACGAATGAAAAACTCAATTTTTATTTTTAATTAGTGGCACGCCAATACCTTGTAAGGTAAATATAGTACAAAAAACTGCTTTAAGTCCGATAAAAGTAAATCAAAGTAGTGATATGCCACAGGTAAGATTATTAAAATAACAAAACGTAATGCTATTTTTTTCTAAATCTGAAAATAAGTTTTAAAAAGCTTAGAGAGGTACTTAGAGCTCACTCGTAATTGATTAGTATGTTGACGTCAAGTAAGCTTTCTTATAGTCTGTATCAATTTTAGTTATTAATTTCAAATAGAAGTTGAGCCTTAGTTTTGTTCTTTTATCAATCTTATCTGTATATTTTATAATTTCCTTTGACTTTTTTTATAGTCATAATTAGTCTAATTTTTAAGTGTTTTACAATTGAGTTTTATAATCGAGAGTTCTGGAGAAATTTTAATTTTTTTTTCAGAAATTTTTAGTTTTATCTTCAATAAAAAGGCGAAAATTTTGTTGAAATCTTGGAAAATCTTGAATGTAAAGTCACCCACCTTCCTTGCAATTCGTCATAATGTTTTTAAAAAATCTTAGCTATCTTTGTTTTTTTCTTCATGATTTTTTGAGTTTTCTTTAAGAATCTTTAATATTTTCCAAGATTCTTTGGCAAGAACTTGCCAAGACAGCCAAGATTTTCTTTAAGATTTAATCAAGATTCTTTAAGATATAACCAAGGATCTTCAAGGTTTTTCAAAGATATCAAAGACTGATGGACCTGGGTAGCACCTCACTATTTTATCAATATACTTAAGTTACTAAAGAACATTCAATTCTAATCGATTAATTAGAACACACGCATGACACTAATGTCATAGAAAAACTATGTATTTATTACACTGACTCTTTTACCCGGCTCGAACGAATGAGGAGCAACCAACGGCATTTTAGGGGCTAAGTCTATACCACTCAAAATTTAGGGAAAAGTTAGTAAAATTAAGCAAGGTGTCAAGCAAAATCACATCTCAAAACCACATGAACAGAAGCTGATAAAACCTAAGGAATCAAAGCTATTAATTTTTGCTCGGCTGAATCAATGATGATCATTTTTTGTCTTGGAGAAATCATGGCACCCGAAACATATAACTCCAAAGACTTTTGAGAACACAATTCAAAGGCTCGATTATTAAACAAACCCCTTATGATTCAATTAAATCGGTTTAATGATAAGTTTTGGGCCAGTTTTTAAACGCTTCCTTGGCAAGCTTTTTTGTCCTGCTCTGTCTACTTTTGAGATATCCGATAATTTTTGTTTTTCCTTCGATGTCGCGAACTTTTTCACAAAAGCATTTACAACCGAATTTGATGATTGTTAATGTCAATCAATTTTTGTAAAATTGATGTTAAGATCCCTTTTCTGCAACCCTTGATTTTTATCTGCCCCATTTTTATAGATCACTTTCTCTTCCTCAGGCCTTTATGAACACTGGCCCATAGATTTTCTAGCCACGGTAATCCGCAATTTTGTAACTTTGCTGATTGGTGAGGATTTGTTGGCTCTTTTATTTTCTGTCGATATTTTTACTGCTTTCCAAAATCACGAGAGAACCGGATGATTTCTTGAAAACCTCTGGAGTCGCTCCATTGCATTTATCGTAGCATAGAGCATTGCAAAAAAATGGAAGGCAAAATTAATTAAAAAGAGCAAGGATGTCTCAAGGTCACATAAAATTTCAAATTTGCATGCAAAAATTGGTCAAAAATAGTAGATTGCTCTTTTTAATTATTTCATTCTGCTCCAAATTCTTGCTACTAATTATATGGCGTATCTGGCCCTAGCGTTTCTCTGCTGTTGCTCTGGGTTGGCAATTAAGAATTTTACTTAGCCCTTGGAGTTTGCAGAACTGTCTGGCCCAGATTTTCGTCAATCGCCTGCCGTTCAACTTAAAGAAAATGTGACTGCAGAGAGCTGTCACGTTTTCTGTAATCTGGTCTTCGGTATCCGTCGCTAGGTGCTTTGAACCGATATCTACCCCAAGATCAATCCAACTGTTGCCCATGGCCGTTGAGTGGAAAGGGGTTACTGCGGCTCAAAGGTTCTTTTCTCAGAAAAATCATCAGCTGTGATTTCTTCTGTCTCAAGTAATTATGGTGGTTTCTTTCTCCTACCAATTAACTTCATCAATTTCTGATTACAATACAATTTTTTTTTAGTTTTCTCAACGGGAAAAAAAACACATCCAATTCAATCCCAATGCGCGTTTCTGATCAGTTCTTGGACTGTTCGATTACGTTTACCTCTATTCTTGTTTTTGTTTGTCCACTCGTTTGGTTCTTGTCTGTAATCGAGTAGGACTGAGGAAATTTTGGGTTCATTGGGTTCAATTTTCTTGTGGTCTGTGGCAAAATAGGCTCGTTTTTGGCATTTTTGAGAGTACAGGTAGTTAATCATCGATCCTATTATCCGCAGAAAAAAAATCATTTCTCTTTTTCAAAATCATCAATTTCATGATTTCTAAAGTAGATTGCACAACTAACCAAAGGATTGATTAGGCGAATTCAGGATGCATTTTTTAAAAAATAAATTTCGTTTTTCTTCCCAAATGAGCCTTAAAAACGAGTTCTGTTTAAATCTGCCTGCAGCTAGTGACTTCAACTTAAAATTGCTTATACAAAAAAAAACACTTTTTTCAGACTAGACCACAATTCCCGAAAAAAAATCAGATCCGAGATCAATCCTTGATTAGTTTTTGCACCTATCGAGTAACATTTTTTGTTGATTGGAGGGGCGCTAGTCGGGCTAAGCAAAAGTAAGAAAAAACCCTTCGTTTTCTGCTGTTGGACCCGTAAAATCTATATTGATTTCTTAATTTGGTTCTGAAATTGCTGATTTCACTCACATAAACTATCGTAGTTTAGTTATGGTTTGATGTCTGTTGCAGAGTTTGGTGAAACAGTGCATCCTCTCTACTTTAAGCTAATCTGACCTCAATTGTGAGGCGACATGAAATATTCGGCTGGAAAAACCAAGGACGCGGATGGGACCTGGGGTAGTGCTGAAACAATAGCTCGAACGTTCGGACTTTCATTTGCGAGATTGACGTTTGAATGCTAATTTCATCATTCGAATATATATTTTTCTTGAACAAAGTTGTCATGTGAGTGTGAACATTTGCAATTCACGCATGCTGCTCTGATTTGGTTGAAAAAGGCTTAAAATCGCATAGGCTTTTATTTAATTCAGTTAAAATGATTGAAGTGAATTATGGCTGCTGCTAACCATGTGTGATAATTGGGATTTGTTAACTACGTGACTCGAAATTGAATCATTGGAATTTGTGTTGTATCATACTGAAGCCCTTTCAAACGCGATTCAAACGACATTGAAAACTTTTCAAAAACTATCTCAGTATTGAAGAAAACTTGTTTGATACTTTGAGTTTTTTTGTTTCCATTTGAGCGAATAAAGCGAGAGAGATTCTTAAAGCAGTTTTAGGACTCGAAAAAAATCAAAAATGCAAAAAATTAGATTAAGAAAACTTTTTTAAAAAACTTTCTTATTTTTTGTAGTCTTTTTTTTTCTGCAAAAATTGTTGTCTAATTTGCCTGTTTTAATATAACTGTCTAATAAAATTTTCAAATTTCTCTCTCCAACAGTAACAAAAAACTTTTAAACGAATTCATGTGTCTTAAAGCTCAAACAATACGAATTAGTTGCAGCTTTGGTTATATGAGAGCAACTGTGGCGTCAAAAAAAATTTAACAAAAAAAAAGGTTCATCATACAATTTCATATAAGAAAAATGTTTGATATGCTTTGTTTCCATTGAAAATAAAATACAATTTCGAGGTACTCTTTTATTTCCTTTGTTCGATTGTAAAATGGCTTCTGTGCTGAAATAACAATTTTACGGAGAAAAAAATGCTATACAATGTTTAAAATTTTGTGTCTATAACGTAGTCCAGGTTGAGTTTTTCACCAAAAAAAATCACAAATTCAAAAGCAAGTGTTTTAATTTTTTTTAAAAGTCAATTAGTTTTTTTCTGAGATGAACATTAATTTGTTAAAAACAGGCCTTTTTTCTAAACCACCAAAATTTTTTAATTCATAACTCTCTAGCCAAACACAAATTTATTTACCTTTGTTTGTATAATTCTGAGTGAAAAGGCCAACCTTAATTTACATGGATAATAATAACAAATGTACTTCATCTGCGTGGTAACTGTCACTTACACTTTTTCTCATGATCTTTGGTTATTGTGTTTTTGGAAATATCAAAAGTTCGAAACAATTTTTTTTTCATCTATAGAAAAATGCCTGTCATGTAACTATAAAAAGAATGGAAAAAAGGATTATCATACACTATCATAGTACAAAAAATTGCTCCTGGCTTTTTTCACACAATTTTTGTGATGAAAAATTGGGCAAAATCTTGTTTTTTAACTCCAGAGTGTGCCAAAAAGTGCTTGTTATAAAACTTAATGAAAATTGCTAATTTGGGATAATTAGCGCGCGATATATTGCGTTCTTATAACACGAGTAAGCGTCGGATATATGCCTTCCAAAATCAATTGAGATAAGCATATTAATCTTAACATATCAGAACAAAACTACATGCTAATAACACCCTTTGCAAATCATATTGCTTGTGCAGGAATAAAATGAAGAAACATTTTTTTCGAAATGAAGAAGTTTTTTTTCGATCATTTTGTGAGTTAATAACAAACATTTTTTTTAAATTGGTCTCAGAATACATTCGGAATATACAAAGCGTCAGCCTGATATACAAGCAGTCTTTTTAATCCCTCATAATTGATTGTTTTTAGACAATAACTATCCATTCTAATTGATTAAAATCCATTTTTTGTTTTTAATATAATCGGTTTTTTTTTGAAGATTTTTACTCTACTTTTTGAAGTTTTCAGCAAAACTCGAGCAAGAGCGAACACGTTCATCCCGATAATCACGCTTCTCTACCTACCCCGTCCCATATTAGATTGTGGTGTTTGCAAAAAAAAAACAAAAAAATTATATTTGACTAATCATAAAACGCGATTGAAGTTATGAAAAAATTCAAAATTAGCAAGACCACAAAATAGCTAGCTGACTTATAACGAGCAAAAAAAATTATAATGAACAAAA